TACTTGACGTCTGCGGAGCATGTCAGCAGCAACACACTCTAAGTGGTTGTGTCAGTATCAGGGTTTAATTGTTGTCAGCTCCGTCTTTAAACGGCCAACACACAATTAAAGTCGTGAACGTGGACGGCAGGAGGTGTTGTTGGTGCTAAATCAAACGAACAAGACGAGGCAGCAGCAGCAGCAGCAGCAGCAGCAGCAGCAGCAGCAGCAGCAGCAGCAGCAGCAGCAGCAGCAGCAGCAGCAGCATCAACATCAGCAGCAGCGTCAGCATCAGCATCAGCATCAGCATCAGCAGCATCAACATCAGCAGCATCAGCAGCATCAGCAGCAGCAGCATCAGCAGCAGCAGCAGCATCAGCAGCAGCAGCATCAGCAGTAACAGCAGCAGCAGCATCAGCATCAGCGTTATCAGCATCAGCATCAGAAGCATCTTATTGATTTTCCTCAGCCTTGTTGCATTCGGTGGATTAAACATCCTACTTTGTTCAACATAAAGAGTCTGTGACCACAGTGTGGTGACCTCACTCATCGATACAACATTTTTATTTGTTCCTAATTTACAGTTTAACGATAGATATATAGATATAGGGATGCAGTGGTATCTGTACTGGGCTGTATGATACTTCTAAATACTTGTAGTTGTACTACTTCTAAATACTTGTAGTTGTAAACAAGTTCAGATCCGGTTCACTACGCTGTGGTAACTACGCAGGACTTTCGATCCTTTTTTTTATTTTGACAGCTTAAAATGTACAAATTTACGAGGGAAAATTTCAAAAATAAAAATAATAAAAATTACAAAAGTTCTATTTCAATCTAAACATTACTGCAAGGGAACGACCTGCATCTCTGCTCCGTCTTAAGAAATACAGAAACAGCATTTCTTAAGAATGTTCTTTAGTTTCGGGGAAAAGAATCCGATACCTCCTTTTCTCCTCCAGAATGTTGTGTTCTGCTGTTGCTGAGGTGATAGTGTCCTGTTTACAGCAAAAGTTCACGCAAAGTTCAGTAGAGCATCTGGGCTTAGGTATCGGATCAGACGGGCTGTATTGTTTTGACCGATATCGATCCTGAGTATCGGATCGAGTCATCGTTAGCTTAAACAAGACAAAGATGCAGTGATGAAGCCTGTCAGCTGACGCCGAGAGACGTGTCTGGACACCTTTAAGTTAAAAAAAAATTGTACATCTTTTGAAAACGTAACAGAACATTTTTCACTGGTTTTTTCTTCAATTACCACGAAACACATTTCTGACGTGGGTGAACTCAAACTTAGACTGATCACAATCTTTAAAGGTGTGAAGTTTGCGGTGGAATGTTTTTGTTTTTTTTCACCAAAACATTACTGTAAGTTTAAAGCTGACGGCGTCACTGAAAAGACATAAGAGGAGAAGTCAAAAAAAGAGGAACAGCTGCTCCCACCCTGATCTCCAACTCCCAGCCAGCCACCCACTCACACACAGCATCTCTGTGTGCAGTGTCAGTCTGCTGCGGCTGATAGGTGGCACGCGGTTCCTCCTCAACACTAATCTGTCAAATAAGTGATGTACAGTGTTTGTGTGAAAAAAAAACAGTATGTCTCTGGAAGGAAGTTCCATCCCAGTGTGAATCTCTAGGACTTCCTGCTCCTCTGGGCTATCAGGATGCACAGACAGTCAGGAGACGCTCACACATATCCACTCCCCCGAAGCAACAATGACTCAACAGCTCAGCAGCCGACGACACAGTCTCTCAGGCCGCAAAGGTTTTTTTTTTTTCTTTTTCAGCAACATCAAGACACAACAACATTTTTGAGGCTACACCGCTGGACCACACCCAAAAAGTCACCACTCATTGGCGCCCCCTCACTGCTGACATTCGTACCACAACAAATCCAGGGAGAAGACCAGAGAGGACGAGGGAAGAGAGGACGAGGGGAGGACATAAAAGTTGCTGAGACAGAAAGAGATGAGAACAGACGAGTGCACTGTGGGTGGGACTCACCAGCTCCACTGACCCATAGTGTTTTCTGCTGAAGTCTCCACGTCGGCAGCCCAGGTCCTCCGAGGCAGAGCTGTAAGACAAAGACACAGTCAGACACCTGGCCTCTGTGTCCTGTAGGAAATCCCAGAAACATACAGTACATGAAGTCTGTATCATCACTCATACAAAAGTGGCAGCTGCAGCATCTGCTTCTCCCCAAATCTGTTTCTCACTTCATGGCTAAACACAAATTCCTGCTCTGTATTTTCTGTCCTCTCCTTCTGTGTGTCTCTCTGTTTGGCAGGGACAGTGCAGACATGGTGACTTGTGCTGGGAGTGGCGGCCAACCCAGTTTCTGATTGAGACGCGGTTCCTGATTAAATTACAGCCAAGTGATAGATGGAGAATGGCTTGAAGAGCTGACTGTTGCTCACATGGTCAAATGCAAACATACAATAAAGACGGCTGCAAAAACAAACAAACAAACAAACAAACAACCAGAGCACGAGCACAAATAAATGTTTTGGGATTTTCCTTTGACGAGATTATAACAGAATTCCATCAGACCCTCTGTGATAAACAGCTGATTCTGGAGGAGCCAGTACTGTACAGTAGTTAGCATTTTAGCTGCTTCAGCAAACAGAACACAGACAAAACAGTAAATATTTGACCATTTTTTGATGCTGAACTCCCCTTGCCGTCAAACTAGAAAAACGACTTGTTTTCTTGGCGAGGACGGTTCTTCCATCTGCTCCTCTATACAAAGTTAAAGGTAACAAAATTATAAATGAGAGATGATTAAATTAAAAAACAAAAAAGATTGTAACTGGATTATAATAAGTAGGTTCAAGGTTTTAGATGCATGGTATTTTATTTTGTCCACTCCTGTTTACATTTTTAAAAATGTATCAGTTTCTCCATTTGTCAAAGGATTGTTTTGAACTTGGTGGCACAATAAACCAATGTACAAGCAGCACACTCACTCACTCACACACACACACACACACACACACCTTACATGTATGCATAAGTAATTACATTACCATACATGCAAATTATTATTGTTAAGTATACATTTCTAATGTCAAGTTCCCAGAACAAACTCAATTTTCTGTTTTCTTTTTCTTTGAAAACAATGTAAAATGTTTAACGCCCAGAACCAGTTCATGAAAGTCAACACGACCAGGTGTAATACACATCCACAGGTCGGTATCGGGTTTTCCTCTGATAATGAAAACTCGATAACACAAGTCTGGTCACTAGATGGCAGCATTGCAGCTCATTTAATTAATATCATACACATCGTTGGTTTGTACAGATAAATTAATAAATATTACCAGGCCTATATTGGTATCGGTTGATATTGTAATCAGAAATTAAATGTTTGGACAATATCGGCGTATCGGATATCGGCAAAAAGCTAATATTGGACATCCCTATCCAATGGGTGAACTTCCGTCCAGCCCTTTAGAGTTGGGGTCCCCAACCCCTGGTTCTGGGACCAGTACTGGACCATGTGGTACCATATATAAAGTTTTATTTCAATTTTGTTCAAATTCACATCAGTGTGCAGGATATTTTATTTTATTGAAAGTGAATCACTTCCATTCGCTCCTATTTATACATTTAAATTTTAAAAATTATAAATGGGAGTTGTGTTTTATTTAAATTTGAAAAAGATTATTATTAAACTATAGTAAGAACATAGGTAAAAGTTTCTAGATTTTTTTCCCGTCATTGTGCATTGTACTTTATTTTGAAATAACGCTTCTGTCCACTCCTTCATGCATATTGAATATAATTGATAATTGAAAATATTAAAAGTGTTCCTGCTCTGACAGATAAGGGTTTGTTTGCAGTGAACAGCGTCGATACAGCATCAGTGTTGTGAGCAGGTCATACTGCAGCCTTTTTGCTTTGTCTCTCTGGACCACATCCCCCACTCCACCTCCTCTATCTCCCCTCCTCTCTCCCCTCTCTGGTCAGGTTTCTCTCTGTCTCCGTCTGATCGTCCTTCTATAGGAGCCGAAGATGAAGGCAGAGTGGGATCGTTAATACATAATGTACACTTGGGCTTAAAGGACACATCTGTACTACAGAACATATCCATCAGCGCTTCCTCGCTCCCTCTCCTCCTGCTCGCTTGCATCACTGATCGGGTGCGGTTTACTGGAGCTCCCTCACAACTCCTGCTTTTCTGTAATCCCACTTTGTCTTCTCGGTCCCTGGTTGCTATCTTTTCTGCCCTCCACCCTTGCTTTGAGAGGAGGTCATAAAAGTGATTCTTTATTAGAGCCGGATAATTACGTGCCGCCACCTTTCCTACAAAAACACTTCATCTCCTGGTGAGGATCACCTCATTCAGAAAAGGGTTTCAGGATTGTGGCATTTGCGGATGATTAATGAAACCCACGGACAATAAATGCATTGTCTCATCACCTAAAAGACCCATCTATTGAAAAAGGCTTTTTTGTTAAGGTTTTAAAGCAGTGATAGTGCTGTGAGACGGGAGGCCTGGTTATTCACGTGTTACTTCTGCTCGGCATAATAAAAAAAAAGAACCTTTAACTACAGATTTATGCTCATGGAAATATTCTATAACATCAAACATACAACAAAATCACACTGCAGTTTCTCTCTGGACATAACTCTCAAACTCAGAACTGACACAGAAAGTGCCAATAACAAACAAAACAATAACAAATGTGCTTCTACCTCTTGAACTGGTCGTCCAATCAACACGCAGAAGCCCAGCATCCGCACCTGCCCTTTGCACAATGACTACCAATGAAGCCTAGCCTCCATGGAAGTGACATCATTTGATGTATTATTCCAAACAGTATCTTTCCCATGCAGTGAAAACATCCTGTGAAACCATTTAGAAGCTGAGCTTCAACAGTGTTTAATACACGAACATAAGAGAAGAAAATGACATCAGACCATCTGCAATTCTTTGGTTAATAAAAATATAAACAAATGGTAAATATTAGTAGTAGTATATAATTCTTAATTCTTTTTATGTGGACTATCCAAATCCAGAGTTAGACAAAATGATGATTAAATGACAAATATCGATGCTAAATATTTTGATTGGAAGAGTTTGCCCTTTTCAACTACAGCCATGTATAAAGAAGCTAAAGATCTTGGAGTCCTCCCCTGCTGTCCTGCAGTGGTAGTGCACCCTTCGGGGACACAGATCTCAAAGTGGAATCCTCTTTAAAATTTTAACAGGAGTTTGGAGCAGCCGCCACTGTTTAACTGGTCGGTTGTTACATTTCAGCTGTTTCTTTTTCAATATGACTGAAAGTGCAGTATTCGCAGCAGTGAACGAGAAGGCACCAATTTACCAGGTGAGATGAGAGCAGGGACAGCACGGCCTGGAGTGTGATGAGAAACATGTAGCTGTCAACAAGGCTGTAGCATCGAAGCACAGGAACGATGAAATATTCACATTTCAAGTACAGCATGTGCCCAAAAACGAAGAGGTGTTTTTTTTTTTTTCCTGTGTGACTTTACAGCACTGTCGTCAGTCTGTGCCGTGTTTAATGTGTTTTGTTGTCGTCAGTCTGTGCCGTGTTTAATGTTTAGCCCCAATTTCAAAGATGTTTAATAACGATAAACTGTTTTGGTTTTTTATTTATATTAATTACATTTATTTTAAAATATTAATGAACTTTTACTGAATATTGAGGTTTAATTTCAAAAGCAACAGGGCCATGGAGCTGGGAGAGAGTAAAGTCTGAAGACTTATTTTGAACGATGCACTTTGTCTTTAGATAATCTACAGACTCCTGTTATATTATGTTACGTAACCTTACATAACAGCAGTGTGATTGGATCTTCATCAACCTGCCACTGTGCTAAAATACATCATTTAAACTTTGCATTGAACATGAAAAAAAAGGCAACGTTTGACTAAAGGAGGAATTTACGATGTCAAATCAAAAAAAAAGGCAACGTTTGACTAAATAAATATCATTCAACATTTGTGAGGAATTTACGATGTCAAATTTTTATTTTAGGACTAGGTGAAAATTGACTAAAAAGTGCGGTGCACGTGATTGGATAATGAGTGATTGACAGCCATGACAAGCCAGGACATCTGTTCCAGTCCAGTGTAGAATGTCAAATTATTTCACGTGCACCAACAAAAAAAGGTTCGAGTATGAAAGGTAGAGTTAGACATTACAAAGTAGAAAACACTGTGGCTAAATATCGCACTAGAAAACTTTGTACTGTACATACAGTCTGAGCATGAGAGCTTGGAGTCTACCCCTGCTGACTGGCAGCAGTATTGCACCCGTAACAGATATTTTAGTAAGGTCCCAGTAGAAAGAAACAGTCAGGGTGTCCGTTTAAACACATTCTATGATTTTAAAAGCACCACTCTCTTTTATTATTACCTGTAGATTTAAATGTGTGTAATAAAACTGTGTACTAGAAATCCACTGAGCTACACTCTGTAGTTAAAGACAAATTTAATTTATGTGAAAAATCCAATGAGAAGACGTCTCAGTTTCCAATACATACTGCAGCGAAGCTTCACCAAACGGGCAGGACCGTTTCAGATATAAGGTCTGTGGTTCCTGTCTGACGGCAGCAGACAGTGGCTGCTATAATGGCTCAACATAGATTAATGTGAAACATAAATCACACTGCCACGTATAAACCCCTGCAATGGCTTTGAGTGCTGCCTTAAATTGGCTCTTTGTGAGATTGTGTTATAAAGAAAAGCAACATGGACGAAAAACCACACAGCACCTGACCAGTGACGTAACCAAAAACAAACAAACAAACAAACAACAAAACAGTAAAAAATTGACAGAAAAATCATCTCACAACATCCCGTACACCAGTGATTCCCTACCTCTGTGCCGTGGAAAATTATCCAATTTCACTTAATTGGGCTGAAAACCTTTATTTATTTATTGCATATAATTTTTCTTTGCTCATCAAAGCATTACATGTAGAACAATTAAATATTCTTCTGCTAGATGGCAGTAGATGGCTATGAAAACTAAAAAAAAAAAAGATAATTTAAGAAGATCTCTGTGAGTGTCTTTCTTCAATTCCTGCCAGTATATCAGCGTTGTTTTCAACTAAACAGGCCAATATTTGAGTCAATTATGAGGTCATTTAAACTAGAAGATTATTATATTTCATTACATCTAGTTTGTGTTTGCTGGTTTGCTGCTCTACACCGTGACTTCATACAAAGTCATTTCCGTGAATGACAAAAGTCAGTTTCGGTCACAGATTGCTCGCCGCGCTACATGCACATCCATGAAACACAAACACATTACACACCTTTCTATCACAGCTCCTGACAAATAAGTCACACAGTCATTCCGCTCCACTGACAATTGGAAAAATCCATGCATAACAAGCATGAAAGCAATATGACACAGACATTTAATGAAATTTCCCCATCCTCACATCCCCTCTCTCTTCAGCTCATCTCCCCTGCATGGAAATGAGCAGCTGTGCCATTGGCAGCACTGTACTGTAGCACTGGCGCGCTATTCTATATGACACGTATATCAGTGTGTCCCAGTGTCACTGCAGCCCCGCACTCTCTGCTGCTGCTGAGAAAGCAGCTGCTGCAGTGGTGGCATTCCCACATCCACCAACCTTAAGAGGCTGCGATTGAGCGACAGCAGAGTAACCTTGGTGTAGTACACCTGAACTCCACCGCACACTCCAAGCCTCGGATGCTCCCTTCGATGCCTCATTCTGTAGCTGTCATATATATAAAGTGGCGTGCCCCTGCGCTCTACCTTGAACTGAAAAGCACAACATGAATTATTCACCATTTTCCATAGGCCGCTGTAACGTCTGCTCTCGTCTAACACAGCAGCGATGAGCTGAAGTTCAGGAGCTGTAGATAATCTGGAGCTGTGGTTTGGTTGGAAGCTGATGTGTGTGGCAACACTTCCACGCACAAGACTTGTGGATTCTGTCATTCATATTCCACCACTCCATCCCAGAGCTGCAGCCAA